GAAATGCCAGGAAGAGAACAAAGGTCAAAGAAGGCACTGGTGATACTGTGCACATTCCCAGCTTGCCCTGAGTGCCCAGGGCAGCCTGGCTCCTGGGGCTGGGACAGGAAAATGGCAGCACAGGGAAGCCCAGGGTACCAAGGTTTTGCTTTCCTTTCTCTGCTTTCATATGCCTCGCCACAGACAGCCCCCAGGTTTGGCAGAAAAGTCTGTGAATAGAAAAGAAATTAACTTCTCCAGTGTCAATGCTGTGGTGGGATAATGGCTCTTACTTGGCACACACAGCCCCTTGCCCAGCCCTGCTCTTTTAGCATCTCACTGATGTGTTCCATGTCCATGCACTGCACACAGAAGGAGTTTTATCAGATATATAAGATATATTTAAAGACACACACAGAAATTTACGTGCAGCAGCAGAGGCTTGAACATACTGGTTTCAGTCAAGCTGCTGTAAGTCAAATCCTACCCATAAACCTTTAGCAAAATCCTCCCTGGCTTAATTTGGGGTGGGATCAGTCCTTATCAGAGAAGCTTATAAAGCTCCAGATAACCAAATGACATTTGGCAAATGGAAGCAGCTACACAAATCACAAGAGCAAAAACTCACAACCTTGGGTGATGTCTAATGAGTTCAGTCATTGACACAAGAACTGATCAAGATGCACCTATCTAAAACTAAAAATAAACAGGTAAATCAAAATACATGTTAAGCCATGTTCATCTGAACAAAATAAAAATCTGATTACCAAGATTAGCAAGAAATCCATGGCAACAAAAAAAAAGGAACTTCTTGTGATAACAGTACTGGTGGTACCTCAGGGGGTAGCTCAGGTAAAGGGTGGTTAAGTGGTGTGTGCTGCACCCAGGATAATGAACTTTACTTTTCAGGTTACCATCATCTATGCTACATCTGGCTCAGTTTCAGGATCACTGCGTCCAGTTATCAGACTTTCACATTTGCAGCTCCAGCTATCGTGCACTCTGCAGGTTTATATATAGCCTGAGGGCATGCAGCTGTATTTCTATCTATAAAATTACCTGATCCTGTCATCTGTCAGTCTCCATGTAGTTTGCAGATCATTCCCTGTGTTTTAAGAAACTAGGCAAAGAACTGACAAGGTATAATCAATGCTTACATCCACCTGAAACAACCAAAAGTATCTTAGTGACCTGATTCCTGTTACTTTTCCATAGGAAAACACAGCACTTCACCTTTTGCTGCACTGCATGGAGTCTGTATGACTTAACAGGTGAGGAAAGGAGGAAACACCCTCTCACAGCATGACAGAAAGGGGTGCTTTCTGTGGTGGCTCCGTAATTACTAGGAAAATGCTGTTGAAAAGGTCAGGATGACACAACATTCAAAACCAGGTTCACAAGGGAGTATTTATTCCAGGAAAAGCAGTTGTGACTGGTGCTTGACGACGGGCTCACTGGCTCTCCTCCCAGGTAGATGGCCAGAGTCAGACAACGTGGGCTAGAACAGAGGAGGAGAACCCCTTAGAGAGGAACTGAGTGCCCAAGTCACTCAGTTTTTCCCTGGAAAAATATTTCAGTCAACTCAATGTTTTTTTCCTCCCTGCTCCAAGGGCCCAACTAACCACCAGTAGCAATGCCTCTGACCATATCTGCTCTGCAAGGAGGAGGACAGGTCCCTCCAGCTTCCAGGTGTGACATAACACAGGCCGAAGCAGCAGGCAGCTCCCAGAGCCTGGCAGAGGCAACTGCCCTGACTGAGCAGGGCAGCACATAAAGGGCCAGGGCTTCCCAAACACGCACCAAACAGCTTATGTCCCTCACGGCCTCCATGGATCCCAACAAAACCACAGATTCACACAGAATGATAGGCAGGGGTTGGAAGGGACCACTGGAGATGATCTAGCCCAACCCTCCTGCTAAAGCAGGTTCAGAATGGCTAAGAGAGGAATCACTGTGACACAAGAAGAAAAACAAATACAGCACAACTCCTAGAAACTGTTCAATGAATCATCAACTGCAGACTCCTCCTAAAACTGCCTGTGCCAATGGCATCAACTGCTCCATGCTTGACAAGAATCTTCCAGTCCACTGGGAACCACCATAGTCACTGTCCAGGCTGTTCTGCTAGACCTGCACTTCACATCGAGAACCTGTGGACCTCGTTCATGTTGCATTATTTGCAAACTCGGGGAGCCACTAAAAAACTGTCTTAGTAATACCTGAATAAAACACTGACAAAGTAAACTAGTGTGATTTTCTCAGGAATCATGAGTCTGCTCTGCACTACAGGCATCAGCACTACCAACACATTTGTTCCTAGGAGTGGTCATTACAAAGGAACAATCCTCTGGTCTTAATACACGGAAGAATGTGATTGTTTTGTCAGTGGTGACAATAATTTCTTGCCATCCTTTATTGAATGGGCTTAAGTATATGTGGTATGAAACATTCTTCTTTTAAAGAAAGAACTATGTTCACTGTCCTAAAATGTGGCATATGCCAAATTTCAAAATATGATCTACAAAAAAATATATTCAGGTTTTGATTAATCTTCATCATATGACTTCTGTTTCAGTGATGAGGGCTATTAAAAACTAGAGCATTTCAAATACAGTCTTTCCTGCAAACAGTCTTGCACCATGAAGCATGGTTTCCAGAAATCACAAAATAAATAGAAAATCCTTTTAATCCCAAATATGGAGAAACACATACTCTGTGGCACAGTCCAGTAAGAGTCTGTAGGCTTCCAATCTATGGCAAGTCACCTACACAGACTAGTCTGCCCAAGAACAGGTCAACTAAAGAGAGTCTCCAGCATCATCCCAGGGACTTCCGATACTCCTAGGGGAAAAGGAGTTGTTTAAATAAGTTCTTAGATTCCTCGTGATGTTTTTTTAAAAATAATTTTCTGAGTAGTACAATATAAGATGGGCTCCACTGTAACTTCTTCTGTCCCTACACAGGATAGAGTTCTCTGTATATTGCTACATCAAGCTCCCAGGCTAGTGCTAAACATGCTCATTTATTCCATTGCTTCCACAGGCCTCATGTTCACAGGCTGGTGCTCCTCATTCTGCTGCAATCCAGGAACTTTCATGAGATTTGCAGCTGTGGATCTTTGGCAGTCTGTAATGTCTCATCTTTGTATCTGCTGGTGTATCTACAGTTTCAATTACAGAGCCACCTCATTATGTGTAAGGAGAATTCAGACTATGAGTATGTCAGTGTAACAGAATTAACTTATCAGTTAGTTAATCATCAAAAAGCTCCAACAAAACATAATTGTCTTTATTCTCTAACAAAGAGAATATTTATTCTCTTTATTTATTCTAAAGAGATACACGTATTAAAAATTACTAAGTGTGCATCCAAGAGAAAGTTGCCTCCTGCAAAAGTTTTGATCCAGGTTCTTGTTTTACTTCCCAATCCACTAAAAGCTGTTTTAGTGAGTGGTATTGGGAGTTCTATACATTCTCAATAATAAAAACTTCCAGCTAGTAATTTCCTACTTTCTTACTTCCCTTGATCTATGCAAATGCTTATTTTAATTAAAGGAATAATAGACATAGCAGATTACAAATTAACCCATCAAAGAAACTCACAGCTTTTAGCATTTGCCCAGTTGGTTCCTAGTATCTAGAGAAGAACACATTGGGAAAAGTAAGATTTCTTGGTAGAAATTGCTGCACTGAAGGTCAAGTGAGTGGATAGCAAATAAGTGAGCTGATTTTTTACCTGCAAAGATTAAATCATACTGTGACAATTTTCTTAGTCTGACAGCAGACTCCCTGAAGTAAACTGGAAGCTCAAAAATTTAGTCTTTAGTCTGACATGAAAATGGGTTTCATAGTTTCATCTTTCAATCAAAGAAACAAGACTGTGATCCTTTTCCCCTGTAGTTAGAATTTAGCCACTGGAAACAACAGGAGTGTACCCAGTGCTGCACCTAAATTAGTAGTAACTACTTGTCTAAGTCTGAATCATATTTTACAGCAGAACTCCAGACACACTACCTGACAGAGACAGTACATGTCTGTGTTCAATCCTACTGGCACCTTCAGCAAAATAGACATTTAAGCCCTCTACAAGTTGACAACCCTTCCAGTTGCACCTCACAACTACAAGAATTGTATACATACAACAGGAGTACAACTTTTAGTACTACTATTGTCACCTTAAAAAGATACGTGCCTAAAAACATGAGGCCTGGCCCTCCATCCTGATAAGAGTGCTTTACCTCCTTCTGTTTCTGCACAGGCACCAGAAGGCCTAGACTACTTCCAAATACATCTCTTCAGCAGCAGCTCAAGACATCCTTATGCTTTCTTGTATCCACACAATTGTCAGTGCAGCAGGTAATGGACCAGAACATTAGTCTAGATAAACAGTGACTGGGTTTCACTTGTATCCTTTCTTCAAGGATGGTGGTTGTGAAAAGCACCTTACCCAGTGTTGCCACTCAATCTGAAGCCATTGCTTGGGACAGTTCAAGACAGCTTCAGAGAGTTCCATACCATGTAATTCATAGGGTTTTGTAGTTGTACAAGGTAAAATTTTAGATGTTTCTGGGCTGCCTGTCTTTGAAGATTCAGCAGAGGTCCACTATATGGATCAAAACAAACCCTCAAACATCTTTAAAATAAGGGTTATTTCAAATTTGCAGGAGAGTTTCCTGAGCTTAATGTCTCAGGAAAGTAGAAACTCTTGTCCATCTGTTTTGTTGTGTGTTTTCATGTCAGTCTTTACAAAGAAGCATTTTTGTATGAAAACAGATCATGTGTTGTAAAAGGGATGATCCAGAACTAAGAAGGGTATCTATCTATGACCTGAGCCCAGATAACAAAGTGTCTCACCCACATTAGTAAAATATTAACAGAGGTTATTGGTTGTCATAGTAAAATGAGAGGCTGCAATGAACGTAATTTCATTTACGGACGTTCAGAAAATTGACATCACAGCCGCAGGAACATATAAATAACCGGCACACTGCATGTCTGATCAACTGCAGCAACGTCTCTGAAGAGCATTCTACAGGCTCAGCTCCTCCAAAGGCACAGCAGAAACTGGATTTTGTAAAGTACACCAAGAAGCTCCTTTTTAGAAAACAGTTTTGAGACCATCCACAATCTTTTTCCTCTGCCTTCAGTTGTGTTTGCCATTTCTTTAAAGAAGCATGTGCACGGGAGGTTGTGCCAAGTGCCTGGGAGCCACTCTTATCCCCCTGGCTGTGCTATGTACCCTCGCTAACATTCTGTTGTTTTTCCCTGGAGGAACAGTCGTTGAAAACACTGAAAACATTACAGATGAGGTTTGGTGGTTCGGAGGGATCTTGGGATCTGGCATATTGGTGAGTACATAACTTCAGGCATTCCTCCTTCCTCCCCCCCATGACTTTGCATTCCTGAATTTCCACCATACCTCAAATGCAGGCTTCAACATTGTAAATTCTGCTTTGAGTTACAAATAAGTTACAAGTCATCCCACAGTTTTGCAATAAGTTAATTTAGTTATAAGAAAAAATAATAAAAATAGAACTATTACAAAGAAATATAACTTGAATTAATCCCAATTCAAACTGTCTTTCTGTTACTGGTAGATGATCTTTCCTGCCTTGGTATTTTTGGGCCTTAAGAATAATGATTGCTGTGGCTGCTGTGGTAATGAGAGCTGTGGGAAGAGGTTTGCGGTAAGTGAGAGGAAACGTGTCAAAAAAAGTAAAATCTAAACGGTTACTGATGTGATACATGTATCTTCTGCTCAGTCACTGAGAGACTAGATGGATGCTGCCCAGAGTGCAGGTCACAAAACCCTGCCATTTGTCTGAATGCTGACAGCAGGGTCAGCAGGCTGCAAAAGCTGTTTTATGCCTCTGATGTGCCACAGGCACCACAGCTGCACTGCCTTGGTGTGTTCTGCTGTCAGAAGATACTAACAGTCCCTATCACAATTAAAACTATTCTGAAAGATCTGCACTTTGTTTTGCACAGTGTAACAGTTCTCTCTTTAGCCATTTTTCGTTGGCAGTTTAAAAAAAAATATTCTGACAGTTGGGCACTACATTCCCAACTCACTGCAGACCCCTGCAATGGGCTGTAAGTACCTCATCAGGTTCATAGGAAATTTCAGTTTGGAAGAGACCTCGGGAAGTCTAATCTAATCCAACCTCCTCCTTAAAACCAGGTAGACCAGGCTTCACTTCAAATTTATAGCTTCCTTTCACACTACAAATGACAAGTTTCAAATGGATGCCTTCAGACACTAGTAAAAATTGCAAGCATTTTAGTTTAAAAATGAGATTAGATTAAAAATAATCTATTTCTACTATGAAAGCCTGTCCTTTTAAAATAAATTGGCTCAAGTAAATCATCACAATTTTTAAAATAAAGGAACAGGTTTTCAGTTGAAAAAAAAAAAAAAGGAAAAGAATAATGACTGTGAGGTTAACAAGGAGCCTCCCTAAACCCTGTCTTTGACAGTCTTCAGGCAATGCCAACAAAGCAGGTGGTACTTCTAGGAGGGGAATGGAGCCATGTCTCTCTTCCCCACACTGTCTCATCCATTGCCTGTTAGCAGTGAGCACAGTTGAGCTGGGCAGAGCACAGACAACCTGGTGCTGGGTGGGTGGTTCTCACAGGGGGCCCTGGCACTGCTCTGACCAGCACGTCTTCATCTCCAATAAACCATCCGGGCAGCATCCTGCCCATAATCCACCCACATCCTGCAGGGCAGCACCTAGCTGGTGACTCAGGTTAGAGGGCAGGTGGCTGAGAGGCTGGGTACAGGCACAAGGACTAAGGGCACTGTACAAAAAGAGCCCTGTGGCCTTACCACACCATGACTGAGACCTGGACTTGTTCTGGCATGTTAGCGGAAACACCATTATAGTGATGTCTACTACATAAACAGAATGTTTAAGACAGCCCAATCAGATCTATCAACATTACAGCACACATCAGCACTCAAGGCAAGAATCTGGTGAGGTGTCAATAAAAGCTCACAGACCTGACAGTACATTTATTTTTTCCTCCACCTACATTGCTTTGATCCAGTAACAGACATTATCTCTGCCTCCAAACCACTGTGGCTACAAGTGCTTCAGAATTCAAGTAGGGCATTAGTTTTTGCATTATTTACTTACATATTAGTATATATGAAAATGCTGTCATGGAAAGCCAGAAAATAATGACATCCTTTCCAATCTATTCCAGTCGCACTAGGAGAGCTAATCATGACAAGTACCAGCAAGGAGATTAAGTACACTAATGTGAAACCTCCAGGGGAGAGCCAGGAAGGAAAAATCGTTACTCAGCCCAAGATACCAAAGCTAACTTGTCAAGGGTACTGCAGATTACTTTTTTGTAATGCCCGAGTGGTCCAAGACTTCACTCTCACTTATGATCTCTTGAAAGACTCCAGTTCAGTGAAACCCAGGACCTGGAACAACAGTGAGGTCTGTGGGATACAGGTTGTGGGAAGGGGAGGACTGCCATCTACTGTGCCAGCACCCACCCAAACAGAGCTAATTGGTTTAAAACCTTTAAATACCAGAGCGTCATGCATTTACTGTGTAATTGCAAAGTAATAGAGGTTAGCTGCTCAGGAGCTGACCAGTTTGGCCAAATTTAGAAAATGCACATTCACATTAATAGAATACATTTTGTTGTTTGAATGAGAACAAAAATAACATTATTTTTCTGTTCATCAGATGTTTTCTTCTATAATATTCGCTGCAGTTGGAGTTCTGGGAGCTGGGTACTGCTTTGTTTTGTCAGCAGTAGCCATAAACAGAGGCCCTAAATGCAACACTGGAGACGAATGGACCTATCCTTTCCAGAATGGGTAAGACAAGGCAATCAGGAAAAAAAGTGACATATTTTAAGTTAGTGATACGATTTAACTCCCAAATCTGTTCTACAAAAATATGAATTATACTGTTTGTCTAATACACAGCAGCTCTTAAAATAGCCAGCAACACACAGCAACACTAGGTAAGGTTCAAGAGCAGAGAGATAAAGAATAGCAAGTATGATCAAAACTACCAAGTTCCAAGACAGTGCACAGCCTTCTAGGTTATTCTTGCCTTGACAAAGCAGTCACCTAGATGATTAGTGGTGCAAACTTATATTGAAATTTGATGGCATGCATTTAATTAGGAGTGACCTAGTAGGGTCTCTTCCGTGACACACCACAAAACTAGAGTTCAGGTTGAGAAAACAAAAAAACAACCACAGAAAAAAAAACAAAACACACACACACCAAAAAAAAAAAAAAAAAAAAAAAAAGGAAAAAGCAGCACAGTGTTGCATGTTAAACTTCATTTGTTTGTGGGCCAGTGAGGGCTGGAAAACAATTCGCTCGGTCTAATTCTGGAAGTCTTTGGAAAAATAGGCTGTTTCAAACATGATTTTGATTACAGTCAAGTCATCACTTGACAAGACCACCAGAAGTAAAACAGCATTAAGAATATGCAGAGGAAATATAGTAAGTGGTTAAGCAGCTCCCAATTAAATAAAAATGTGATGGCAAAAAGAATGGAAAATATTTTTACCTAATACTGCTGTTCTTTAGATGAGCCATCTAGAACAGCAATGATTATTCTTTTCCGTGGCCAAGAGGCAACTCATCTTGTAGCTTTTGTTTTGTTAGAAAAACTGACTTCATTAATCTTCTACGATATTGTCTTGCTAATTCACTTGGTTTTATTACAGCGTTATAAAGTAAATGAATACGAATATTTAGGCGTAGAATGCAACATTGCGTCCTTGCTCCTAACGGGATGTTGAGGTACCGGCTCGCACGCTGTAACGCAGCAGCAGCCCTGACGCTGCAGGGCAGAGGGAGCCCGGGGCTGCTGCCCAGGGGGCGTTAGAGAAGGCGCTGCAGCCCCCGGGACCCGCGGGGCA